AACAGGTGATTACACGAATCAACGAATACTCGCTGTCCAACGATTGAAATAAATATTGGAATAGCTCGGGTAGGTGAGGGTGCAAATCATGACAACAGCCTTCCGCAATCGCCCCTAATGCCAAAATTCCTGACTCTCGCACGATAAAGTCTGAACTGTTGAGAGCCTCGGCTATTAATGGGAGAATTCCCTGCAGTAAGCTATCACCAAATACACCGGCCAATGCATCGAGAGAAGCTGCACTGCACTTCCTTAACGTCCACCCTGTATATGGCTCATTAGCGGCATCATTCTGCTCTTCATTAAAGCCATGGAACGGTTGCATATCTTCAGGCAGATCCTCCAAGTCCTCGTCAATTCCAATATAATTCTTTAAGGTGATCAACTCCTCCGCCGTATACTGCATGTTTTTCAACAAAATTGGCAATATCAAATGCAGGTATGGCCCCAAGACCTCCTTGCAAATGTCAACCTTCACGAGCGCAAGCCAAAACTCGCACGCTTGCAGTGCAATTTCCACATTCGCACTGTTCACCTTATCCACGATGAATTCAATCACGGGGCTAATGTGAGGAAAAATATCGACACACTGCAATTCGACAAGCGACACAAACGCGCGGCAAAGCGAGATCTGCACCTGAACGTCACCATCGGGCAAAATACAAAGCATGTTAATGACAAGCGTCTTCGAATCGAAATACACATTCTCCTCGAGCAGGTGATTGACAAATTTCAAGCAGCCCGCACGAATTCGCGTATTCTCGCAAAGTATTAATGCAATAAACTTGTCAATCAAGAGGGTAATAGATGGATCCTTGTAGCCGTGTTTGGCGCAATACTCCTCGCATATTTTGAATAGGGCGATTAGAGCCGTTTCGGCCACCTGAACATTTCCACATTCCAGCAGGTTGCAAAGTTTCGGCAGTAAGTCGGACGATTTGGTCAAGTCAATTTTTGTGAATAAGATGCCCATTAACGTCGTGACACTTGAACGTACCTCGCAAGATGAGTCGAGCAATAATTTAAAGCACTCCTCTTGAAGGCTAGTTAAGACCGTTTCAGAGAAAGTCTCGAAACTGGTTAGAATGTTATTTTTGAGAATGATTGCGCTTAGTGAACGTATGTAGTCTTCGTAGAGCTGGCTGTTTTGAAGGATGTAGAGGAGGTAGTTGGGAAATTTGGGATCTTTGTACATCGCTAACAGGTGCCCCTGCACTTTTTTTTGGATTTCGTTATCAGGTATTATGGAATCTTGCAACAGCTCGACAACCAGATTTAGTTCTTCGATATTAGGCGACCATTGACTAACATCCATTTTGTTTCACCTATTTAAAAATTAAAGTTTCAAACAAATTGAAAGGGAATAAAGTCGACACAGAGGAGGAGGAAGAGGTTTAGGGTTATGATTTACAAACATAAGTAAATTTAACGAAAAGGAAAATACCTTCTTTTGGGAAATTCTTGAAATAGATTAACAACAAAAAGGAACTTCAAAATAAATATGACAATAGTTTACTTAAAACGGTAAAACAATTGAAATTGCAAAGTCGGCGTTTTATGGATTTTCGCTCCGTTTTTCGATCAATGTGCAGGATTATTTTCATTGCGCGTAGTAGTAACACTGCTATAAAAATCCAAGTCATTAAGCAGTGGCGTAACTATAATTTTCAAATTTTGGATTTTAAGTGACCCTTAAGCAAGAAATTACCTATATTATTTATTAATTTTATACTATAATCTATTATAAAAATGTACTAGTCGATTTTTATCATTTAGACGCACCTTTATGTTCCTAAGTATTCGAAGAATTTGGTTGAATTCATCTGTTTCTACGAAATTTTCAATTGTTCTCCTTGATCTATTAGGTTATTTAATTCCTCCAATTATTTAATTTCTTCAGATTCTTCGGACGTCGGATGCTTTTGATTGAGACGAGTCCGATTAGGAATTAAAGATTTAAAATCAATATCAGCGTTCTTTTCATTGACGTCCAGCGGTAAAAAAAAGTTTCCGATTGGTCTGAGTAATTCTTACGTCCACCAAATGGGGAAATAGTTATGGCAGCGGTCTTTAATTAATTTTCATTGATTAGTTATTTTCTTTAGACCACTACCAAACGGCTTTTAGGGCTGTGGTTGCCTCTTTTACTGAATCCGCAATTTCTCACAGCTTTATTCCCAATTAGCCGACTTGCAGAAATAACCAAAAAAGAGTAATTTACAGAGTGTAATTCAAAACCATACCCAGAGCAATGAGACGACAACTAACGATTGGGAACAACCCATTGATAAATGTTATTCCCAATGGGTATTTGTTTGGGGAAATGTGCCCAGTACCTTGACATTTTTACAACTTAAACATTTCTACTTCCGCGTAATTCGGCGGGGAAAAAATTCATTGTACTTTAAACAAAATGTACCCACAATTATTCTATAGGTACACATAAATTTGAAGTTCTAAAAACTTTCAAACGCATTATCTTGATGCCAAAAGAGTACATCACATGCACGTTTGATAACCGTGTGCGAGACCGTGTGTATGGATGATTCAAAGATGATAATTTCTTTTTCTGAGACCACATGTATTTTGATCAAAACCTGTCAAAATCGTTATTCATCCACCAAGATCGTTGGGAAAAAGACTATTATCTCAATGCCCAAGCATTTGTGTTGATTAGCAAAGTTAGAATAAATGGTCGTTAAAAAAGTGATGGAAATACTGAGAATCCTTCGATATTCCGTGGTATTGCTTTATTTAATTAGTCTGTTGCGTTCTTTCCGTATAAACACGATTATCGCGTCTCCAGTTGTATCCAACTGGTTTGTTTTCCTTTTTAAACGATTAATTTCTAGAATTGTTAAATGTAAGGCAATTTATCGTTTATTTTGCGTTGTTTAACCATTTAAGTGCAAGTTTAGTTTTAATGTATGGGCACTTCTATTACTTTTCTTAAAAGGAAGATTTAATTTATTAGCGATAAGAATGCGTTTTAATGGGTTTGTTTCCGGTTTTTTCAAAATTTACCAAGTAATTCTTCTTCGAATTTAAGGAATTTGATCGTGGCCGTTATTTGCCATAAAATTTGGAATTTGAAAAGAGATTTAAAGTGTTTTGTATATGGTTCATTTTCGCTGGACCATTGCAAACGGCATTATTATTTGCACGCCCAACACGGGGCATTGCATTTATTTTTTTATGTGCCCGAATGATAAGAGTTATAACAATATATGTAGGATATATAATATGAAATCATTAACAAACTGCCAGAGCAAAAAAACGTGTCCGTGCAAGAGCAAGTGAGATAGCTATATAGCACTCTGCAGGATAAACAGAGAATACATGGAGAGGGAAACACAAATAGAATATATCTCCGAATACATATAATTTAGGAAAAAGTTTATTATGATAAATAAAAATTATGTCGTATATGAAGTGAATTAGTTATTTATTGGTCCTCTTCCTCATGTGCACTATCCTCGGCACTATCGTACTGGTACTGGACATAAAGAAGCAACATGATGATAGTGACTTTATATGGAAGATAGATCATATTCTGATAAAATTTTCCAAAAGTGGTATTAAATTAGACACAAGATGGTATTCCCACACTGACGATTGTACAAGGAGTGCCACCTTCTTTTTTTAATGAGACCTACTACTGCTACATTTTATGACCCTAACAAAGGCAGCCCTTGTCATATAGGGTCATATTAATTAATATCACTTTCTGTAAAACCAGACAGCGTTTTCTTCTAAAGAGATGTTAACTGGCGGTGAAATACTGCCACTGCAAAAATCAGGGTACTGTCCTGTAAGAGAAAAACTTTGCAGAACTAGGTATAGAGGGTGAACCTTTAAAATACTCAAAAATGACATTTTCTGACCAATCAAAAGCAAGAACTCCAAAGAGAAGAAGCAGAGCAACCAGGATCAGTTGCTTATATGGGTCGAGAAGATTTAATAGCATTCATTTCAGTTGATATTGCCAAAATGCATCTGCACTTCCAAAATAATTTATCTCAAACTTGGAGGAGACTTGATTGCAGAACATAGGGACACACCATCATTGTTGAAATTAACGATTGTAGGGTTTTATTAACTTTTTAAACAGCAATTAAAAAAGAAACCGTTAAAATAACTAACAGTACTTTAAATCGAATAATAAAAAAGCGTTACATTATTTATAGAAACATTACAACAAAAACATCATTGTTCTGCTCATAAAATTAGAGAATAATTTCTCCAATTAAGTTTGGGGGAATCACCAATGATAAAAAAACTTCCAAAACAACGTAAATAAATGTATAATTAATCAGTGTCAGTAATCGTATTGCGTAACTGAAATTTCTATACCACAAAAACCATTAACCATGATATTTCCGCATAGATGACTAAAACTAAAAGTACACAAAACATTTATTGCTTTCGCTATCGTACCTATGATAACAGATAGGATTGTGTAATCCCCGTAGAGAATTACAAAATATAAACATGACTGTCGTACTTACTTTTGATTTAAATACTGCGTCGTCCAATCTATGATAGCTCCGACGACCTCAGAATTAAGCAGCTTGTAGCTTCCCAATTTGACAGGTAATTGATCGTGCGGATTGCAGCTATCGACGAAATTCTCGAAGAAGCTTCGGTAATCTTTCAAATAGTCATCCTTATTAGCCATAGTTAAAAAAATACTTATCGGAATCACAGCAAAGTTAACACTTTATTATTTACACGAATTCGTTGTGATATGTACATATATTTGTACTATACGTAAGAATACTGTTATCTTAATTTACTCGCTTGGTAATACTTTTAGAATTCATTTGGTTTAGATGAACTGTAAATTTTTGTTAGAAACATTTAATAAATGAATCACTCCTTCTGAATGGTTGAAATGAAACGTCAAATTTGCATGGGGGAAACTTCAGCGTGTAGCCAACGCTGGTGTGGTGATAAAATGAAATGTCACTAATATTACTATTTAATCAAAATTCACCTACATAACGCTACATAATTTCCATTCCTCATTTAACAGTACATTATCGACAGGTTCACCTTTCATTTCCTTCGCTTTCAAATTTAAGTACGTATTCTCGTACTCCTTCAGGAGGTACTCCGGTAATGGCTTGTTCCAGTCTTTCGGTGGCGACCGACGTTTTGTCCACACATCATTTCCATAGTGATCTCTTAACCTTTGCATCCGTCTTTCAGTTTCACTTTGTACAACAGCATTCTAAACAGGAATGTTACATCGGTAAGCATTTCAGGTTATCGATACCGACCTACAGCCGCTTTCAGGTCCTGATCGTCCTGCCATTTTATACAGGCGTCATAGTCTCGTCTATATTGCGAGCAATCGATTGTTTTACCGTATATGAAGTACTGATGAAATCGGGCTGCTATGCTTCGACAGTCTTTGTAATCTTCCAAATAGGCTGTACATGGTCGGATCTACAATTATATTACTTTAGCTCAAACTATATCAAATTTTAGAATTACCATCCATTCGTCTGTTAGTTTTCCATCTTCACTCATTTTTATATGTAATAAATTAATTCTGAACTAATGAGGTTTTAGGTTAGAAAAGCACCACTAACACCTAACGTCAATTCAGTTCAGTCAGACAGGAGAAAAGGTGTAAAGAAGCGTTTACACCGTAAACATAAAATAGATTTGTGTATAAATAAAATTTATATTTTAAATACAGTATATAGGGTGAATCGCCCAGTTCTCGGCCACTTAACTGAATTTTCACCTTAAACCGACGTTTAAAAATTGCAGAATGATTGAAATCCAATTTTGATTATTTTATTGGATAGCACGTAGTTTACTTAATTAAATTTAATCATTCAAAAATGTCAAATCTATTTAAGTTTTTTTTTGTTAATAAAATCCTAAAAAATGTCCTTATTGCCAGTTCTCGGTCACTTGATTATTTTCTCGGCCAAGACTATGCCAGTTCTCGGCATGGGTGGCCGATAAATCCCATTTTTCGGCCGTGTTGTTTAAGCATTAAAATAAAAGGAGAAATGAATGGAAAATGGGTGCCTAGGTACAGATAATCAAAAAAATTAATTTTATTGCAGTCAGTAGTAGATTCTAATCAAAATATTTAAGTAGATAAATAAAACAAAAATATTCCAAGTTGCCTATTTTAATATAAGTAACTAATAAAAAAACCTTAAAAATAAACATAAATAGATATCCTTAAAAAGAGGAGTAAATAATTTGTACTCATTAAAACTTATTTGCAGGAACTACACAAGAAATCTCTAGTTGAAGCTTCATTGTATGATAAATTAGATAACTCAGTACAAGCTAAATGAAACCACTTAGGGCATGCATCGCATCCCAGGTTTTTTAAAGAATCATCTTCTGTGTCACTTACCAATTCATCTTCGCAAAGAGAACACATCAATTTTAATTTCTTTGCTGCATTTTTTTTTGACTGTTTTATATCTTTTTTTGCATTTTTTTTATTCTGTTTTTCCAGTCTTTCATCTTTTTTCTTCTGCTGAGCTTCCTGTTTATTTAGTCTTCCTTTCTCTTGCTTTTCAATATGTTTTCGCCAAGCGTTGGACGAGATAGCACTTGGCAATTTCTCTTTTTTTTTATTTTCTGAACCTTTTTTTATAGGTTCAGGAAATCTTAGATGACGAGAAAATGGGGTTAACACGAAATCAGGTAAAAAGCACATAAAACCAATATAAGTTAAAGGTAATGGCCGAAAAAAGGCCAAGATACCTTTTCTCGGCCGCTCTTTTAAACATTTTTATTTCCCGCGCTTTTTTAGATAGTCCGGCCGAAAACTGGCTATTTTGTGGTACTAACTGTCCTAAGTATGCCAGAGAAAAGGATACGAATTATTATGAACCAGTAAGACAAAAAAAGATAAACAATATCATGCTCTACGACCTGTTCTCGGCCACCCTGGCCGAGAAGTGGATTGAGCGTTTTGGTTAAGCCAGTTTACCGGCCACCCCATAAAATAATTAGTACTTATGAATTATCATTATTTTCTTAAATATAATAGTACATCGACATATTATTTATCTAAAATTTAATAACACTTACCTTTATAATCAGTATTACACAAAATAATCACTATTCCCTTATGAGATGTACCCTAGCAAATCTGCAGTAAACAGCCGCAGGCACGCACGTTTCACAAGAGCCAACTTTTAACTGCCATTTTTTATGGTGACATGTGCTTAAAAAAATGGCGTGATCCGTAAAGTGGTGGGGAAAGGAGTGTTGAGTAGGATCTGTAAAAATCGCGGATCGAAACAAAAGTTTGTACTAATTTATTCCCTAATTCTCCTAAAGTGGCCGAGAACGGGTGGTGGCCGGCTAACTGGGCGATTCACCCTACGTACCACTGACCTCATTTTTAAGGTTCGCGGTACGTACACAAACCCATTTTCTTATCCTAAATGCTGGGGCTGGAAGCCAAATGAAAAAATGGGTGCGGTGCTGCGCTTTGGGTTTGTTTTTAAGGATTCCAACAGGAATAAATAGTCATTAAAATTTTTTTTAGCTCGAGCGTCCCGCTTCTGTTAACTACCTTTTTTTAGTTTCCTTTTCTTCATTGATAAATTTCAACTTCTGTTTTCTTCCGTTCTTCAACTCTATTACTCATTTAGTCCGTCTATAATTCGTATTATTTTTGCAGCAGCTCATAGGTACACCTTTTAACCCTAAACGCGCCAGAGCATATCAAGCGCTACGGCTTTGAGGTTCTCGTTCCCTTTCCACAATTTTTTACAGAGTTTGAAGCCCTCTGCAGAGCGTTTAGTGCCTTTGTTAGGTACTGCTAGACCATCTAAATACACTTTGCATGCCTTGATAAATCGTTCGTGTATTGTATCTGTTCTGCTTCTGAAAATTTAGCAACGTCAAACCGTTTAGGTCCATTGCTGAGCATTCCAAAGCTTTTTAAGTACATTTCATTTCTAGGCGCTTTGAAAAAACATATTCGGGATAGCTAACAAAGCACTATGTCCTAGTCGCATTTCAGAATGCTAGTTTGATCCCCCCCCCCCCCTTCATGTTTTACAGCATTGAATTCCCACCTCCAAAGTACTTTACGCCCTTTGTAGAGGTCTTTATAGGTGTCTGCAAGTTTTCTAGACCTTTACGGATACTGCTTAAAGCAGGGCCTTTTAAGAGTTCTTCAGGCACTACTCCCCACTGAGGAAAGGGCATAGGAAACTCAAGTAAGCGTTATAATAGGTTTTGGAAAATTTAAACTATCCTTGCTCGTAATTACATTGATTGCAAATGCAATTTTTGCAAGTGTATTTACAGCCGTAAAAACTACAATGTTAATTATCTTTGACCATTGAGAATAAACCAAATGGCGGTCTTAACACACCAATAGTAATTACAATATGCTGCCACCAGAGGTCTTACTGTTAATCTGAATCTGTCGCAGCTTGTTGCCGCAATTTTCATAAAAAAATCAAGATGACATAAATCGCTAAAAAACCGGCTGCCGTTTTAGTACTGCGGCGTGACCTCTATTGCAACGTGAAAACTTTCCAATTTGCGCGATAACCGCATCGGTCGCAGTTTTCCCCTGCCTAAAGACACTGCAACTCACTCTGCGCCACCTCACCAACCTGCGTCCCATTTTGCGCCTCGATTAAGAGCCCGCGTTGCAGAGTGGCGCATCTGCGTAGCGGACTTCCGCTATACAAACTCGCGCTGCTAATAATGGGTGTCGTTTACTAGAGCCGTTGTATAATAAATATACAATGCTAAAGCGAACCGCACCGTTTCCTAGCATATACGCACATAGAGCGCGCTGCACCAAAGCGACGCGGAGCGGCACTCTCGTTTACCGTTTTAAAATAAAATATGAACGTGGTTTCACAGGATTGTGCCTCAACCTCATTTACTGTGTGTTCCCTTACAGCAAAGGAAATACTTAAAAAAAAAATAAGAACTGATTTATACTTCCAATAAAGATTATCGAGTTAATATTTATCCCTTTACCCTTATCCTTGAGGCCAGAAGAGGTTTATTAACAGACAAGCAGCCCAGGCATATCAATTTAATTACATAACAACAACCGCCCCCTATGTAACAACCGTGTACTTATCCCACGTTGTACATGATTCTTATCTAAAGTTTGCAACATTATGTATTGATCACTTTGACAATTTCTAAATGACACCACTACAAGAACAGCAGATTGAACTTGTCTTCGTATCATCAAACTTACTAGGATTATTTGTATAAACTAGCAACTGGAATGACTAATGGCAGATTCTCATGATACCTCAATGTATTTATTACCGATTACACAGCCAGAATGACTGCACAGCACTTCTGAAAATTGTACGTCTACATTTGGTAGTTACCTCCATTTCCTTCCAAGAAAAATACTACACGTAACACTTACAATAAATTAATAAAAAGCGATTTACTGAATACTTAAAGCAAATAATGAAATTTGTTTAGGTGCGATCGTTGCCGCTAAACGTCCTGGAGGTGCTGAATAAAACCTTTTTTTGCTTCTTTTTCTTGGCACCTTTTCTCGAATTACCTACAAAATATGTTGACCTTTTTTTTTGCAGCGGAAACACGCAAACTTACCGTTATCGTCACAATGCAACGACGCATTTTCTAGCGCCAGAGCGAGAACATCGCCAAAGCTTCGACTGTGACTAGGCGTCACAGCGTAATCCTCGGAAACTGGCTCACTATTAATGGGAATCGGTACGCCTTTTCGCACGGGCCAGATGGGTGTCGATGACTTATTAGTGGAAAGCATCTAAAAATTGTGGTTAGTGAATCAATATTGTTAATAATGCCTTTACTTTCGCGAATGAAGGACAGTTGTTCGGCGGAGATGATCCGGTAGTTTGAACTGACAGTGGAGACGAACTGCGTTCGCTGGGTGGTGAAATTTGTCCGGTTTCATCACTCATTGCGATTGCAACTTGAAAATCGGGAAAGTCCTGATGAGATTCCAAATGGATGTTCGCTTCGATAAATTTTCCCATTTTTTTATTTTCTTCCTCTGTGATCAGTTTTTCGCGCTTCCTCTCTTCACGCTGGCGTCGCTGACGCCGTTTGTATCTTGCGTCGATCTCGTCTATAGTAAAACTTGTGAGGACAAAATAGAGCAAAATAGAACTGTCGTTGAGGAGACTGACTTTAACGACTATTTGGGTAAGACGTTAAAGTTAATTAGCCTAACAATAATTTCGCATATCATCTATGGATTTATAAAATTGTCATAAACCTTGTTGGAGATATGCAAAGAGTACGGGTGAGAAAGACTTACCACGAAACGCAATCAAGGTTTCCACGTTGATTATGGGGGCTTTCAGTTGAATTTCTGCAAATTCGTATTGACAAGTTGCAGGAAGATGCCTGTAACGATGACGTTTCCGAATGTCTTCGGGAACTGAACCCGTTTCTTTCTCGAGAATTCGCCCGGTAATGGTTTGTGGACAAAATTCTAACGAACCGTAGGTATGCTCCAACATACGCACATTGATGTTATGCATGTAGATGTGTTGACCATCGGTAGCTAAACAGATCTAGTTAAATAGCGCCACTTATGCCGTTAAAGAGTTGTGGGAACATCAGTTTAAAATGCATTACGAAATACACTTTTAAGCAATATGAACCGTTTTGATTTTCCAAAGATAGTATTTCGCATAGCTTCAATACCACTAAGCGTACTCAACACTTTGGATATCTTCAAGTTCTTACCTTGATAGAAGTAGTAAACGTGCTTGGTGGATTGTGGATTGCCTTCTTCATCTGGAGGTGGCAGATTCAATGTAGGCTCATTATCGACATTTTCTTGATGTGCTGTTTGCGAGTCGTACAATTGACCCCGTTCGTTGAGCAATGAGAGCGCCTGCTCTATAAAGCATTTTTCTGGACAGTCGTTATCCTCTGCCAGCTGCTGTAGCAATTCAGACCGCTCTCTATCAATTATAGTGTACACCTCGCGTCTCCCTGCTGTGAGCAGTTTGGTATAAATGTTAGAGACGATTTCATCCGAAACACTGTAGGGGCTAGTTCGATCGGGCGCTTCAAAATCTGCAGGGTACGCTATCAATGAAGCGCGAGCACGTTTCATCAGCTTAAAGGTGATGTTATCATTTACATTTCTCAGAGAGTGTGGAATGGTAATCACACTAGAAAACACGTACAAAAAAAAAATTTTTGCAATTGTTTTACCTTTTTAAATCATCTTTGGAAACACTTTCGTAGCATATCGGACACTTACGTACAGCTTTATCAGAAAGTGCTAGATAATGCAGAATGCATGACCAGCAATAAATGTGGCCACAACGAGTCATTTTGGCGGCAATTGGTGGATATAGGCAGATGGGACAGGAAGGAAAATCCAATACGCTGATGTTCTGAAAAGATGAGGTATGTCTAAGCTACAATTCTTGCTATAGTCGCAACGTCTCCATTATAATTTGAGTTTGACCATACTTAAAAAACGTAGTCCAATCAAAATAAATCAATAAAACTTGACCAAAAGGTCAATAGAGGAGACCAGAAATTTTGAATTGTAAATTGGAGGTCCACTATTTGAAAAAACAAGATTAAAAAAAATATTTTCGCCCTAAGGCAAGTTCCTGTAGCGCATTTTCCATGCATTAATCTTCCCAAAGCGCCATAGCTATGTTTTTCTTTGCTATTAAACAGTGATATTCATGTAGAAGTAGACATAGGGATTTCCTATGTCTACTTTTACATGATAAAAAGTCTCCTGAAACTGGAGACGGAAAACGTAAAATAAAGCAAATACAAGAAGCAAAGTGTAAACTAAAATAACGTGAAGCGTCAACTGTCAAAATGGAATAATTAATAATTATGGCGCGGAATGTATCGCGTCGTTTTGCAGACTTTCTATTGGCCAGCCTGAATTATATCAAAATTAATTCGCATATTTTCCGGGGCTTTTCTGAGCATGGTATGTATTTTTCAGATCCTGAAATTGTGAATGTTCCGAAATGAAGTATAGGGACCTTTATTTTAGAGAAAATTACATATTATGTAACATTGAAATACCAACCTGTACACGAAAATTTACCATTCAATATACTTGACTTCATAAAGTAAATATCTAAGCGCATTAAATAAATAAAACGCATTAAGAAGTGTGATAAGAGAAGGTACTATTTACTTAGTATGTAGGTTACATAATTGTATTTCATAATCTTTGAATGTACAGGCGCACCAAAAGTCATGTCTCTACACAACTTATTACTCTTTTTCCTTTTGATATGTAAAGGTTAACCTATGAAATACGATTACTGAGTGTATACAATGATTTTGTTGACCTACCCTGTACGCCAAATTTAAGCTCAATCATAATATAATAATTCTGAAACAATCTTTTTTTGATTTATTGAAATAATCTCAATTTTCAATTATTGTTTGTTTCTATCTCAACAACCTTCAAAACCAAAAATTTCTTATGCAGATTCAATTTAGTAAAATTTCCGCCAAATTTCACAATTAATTGCAATAAATACTTAGGACACACAGTAAAATTGGTGTAATTGTGATAATTTACCTCCGACAGTACTTACCACTTGCTCAATCAATCCCCAATCAACAAGCGCATCGGGATTATTCATGTAGGCCTTATAATCGGCGCTCTCTCGAACAATAAACTGACAACTGCAAGCGACATTTAGAAAAGCGGAACCAAAAATTCGTACTACTCACTTTGCCTGCAAGAATTGCTCCTTCTTATACTTGTGCTTCAGGGCGAAGTTCAGACGAGGTCCCACGACCGCATGGCTGTCGTCCGATTTAAAATGAAAGTTAAGTAAATGATTAAGGCTTTGCTTTTTACTGCCTTGTAGAAAAACCGATCCCAATTCCGGACTCAACGGCTCTAGCCCGGATTCCTCTCCTCCACCTGCCTCTCCCGAGCAATAAAGTCCGCGCGGCCGTGGTCGCTTGTCGAGCGCCCTACTACGTTGCGGTGTCGGTTTGCGGAAAGTCTCGTTCTTCGGAAACGTGCCCCCGTTCGGCTCTCTCCGACGACATCCACGGGGCCACAACTTATTGGCATCTAAACGAGTCGGAGTTCAAAACAAAGGAGACGCCATCTTAACTCGCTCACCTTGCGTTTTTTTATCAGTTGAGGATACCTTCTGGGAGGGTTGAACAAGTCGACTTCCCTTTTTTTCCATGTTGTGCTCCTCCAGCGTTTGCAATCACTAGGTTAATTGAGAGAATTGCTTCTCTAAGAGAAGTGGTTGCACATAATTTCGAAGACGTCATTTTAAAAAGCCATGTTTATTAAATACTGGATAAGAAAGAAAATTTAAATATTAACTTCGAATGATCTTCAAATTCACGCAGTGGATTATACGAAATGCAAATAAACTCCTGGGAGTTTCTCCTCCCTATCGTCGAACACGACGAATTTTCTTTTTAGGACAACACCAACGCGACGAGTCGCAATAATGGCGACGCAAATACTTACATTGCGTTTGCGCAATCGTATATTATGTAATTGGTCCTTATTGTAAAATATGCTACTTCTTGCTTTTTATGATTATAGAAAAACTTAGAAATTTTTGTAATGCAGTATCTATTGAATAAGATACAATTTTACAATCAATTTTTATAAAAATAATTCAAGTGGGTGACAACTTGACTTAAACTTCCTGTGACCCGTCTGCCATCTACAAACCACGAGCGCGGGTTTTTTAAACTTTAAAGTCTTCGGTGCTATCACAACATTTGATATGGCATACCAGTAGCCAGGCTAAGTGACGCAAGAATAACTCGATTGTACATTACTAATGCTGAAACCCCGAAGGATCTACGAGATTACGTTACAGTCTTACAGATCTCCACCAGAATGTGGACCTCACTGTACTTTTAATTACGTCCACTCCTCCTTTCAGGAGAAGCAAGGCAGCCTTCTCAAAATTGTATCTGAAATTAGATGTTATCAAAAAAGTGGCAGGTTGTCTTTATGACCCCCCTTTTACCTGACGACGTTGAAGAGACTGATGGGAAACTGTGGTTCCTCAATATAGAGGAGACACTATACCTCCCTCAGCCAGTACTGTTTCCCCTATATGAACCGTTTACCATTGCGGAAAATTCAAAAATTGTACCCCCCCCCCCCCAACACACCTACAGGTTCACATTCCAAGTCCGTATGTCGCAGAGGCGACCTGCCAGTTCTCAATCAAAAGTTATAGACTAGAAACCAATTTCGAAAGAAAATTCAAAGGGCTGTAACTTTTGAACTAGTAGCCCAATCTTGAAACTGTTTGAAATTATGGATTCTACAGGCCATGTTCTATAAGAAAAAAATTTTTCCAGGTCGATCTGAGACAATTTTTTTTTCGGAGCAAAAAAAAAGGCAGTGTATAATAACCTTCCTTTTTTCCAAAAATCGACTGCACCAAAATTTCTCGGGAACACACTTTTTCTTATTAATTTTGGTGCGTAGAATCCAAAACAATTCGTACTTTTTTTATTAGACTTCTCAATCAAAAGTTAGGGACCAATTTCGAAAGAAAATTCAAAGAGCTGTAACTTTTGAACTAGTAGCCCAATCTTGGAACTGTTTGAAATTATGGATTCTACAGGCCACGTTCTATAAGAAAAATTTTTTTCCGGGAAGATCCGAGACAATTTTTTTTCGGGGCAAAAAAAAGGCAGTGTATAACCTTCCTTTTTTCCAAAAATCGACTGCAACAAAATTTCTCGGGAAAACACTTTTTTTTATTAATTTTGATGCGTAGAATCCAAAACAATTCGTACTTTTTCGATCAGATTTCTCAATCAAAAGTTATAGGTAGACTAGAAACCTGCAATTTCGAAAGAAAATTCAAAGGGCTGTAACTTTTGAACTAGTATTGGAAATTATGGATTCTACAGGCCATGTTCTATAAGAAAAATTTTTTTCCGGGTCAGGGTCCGCATGTGAATGGGACCTTTTACAAAAGACTCAGGGTTTTCTTTGAAATTTCGCCCTTGAGTACTTATGGACCTTCAAAATAATTAAATAGTGCTAAGCATTGACTGTATTTAAAACCAAAAAGATGATCCATAGCGGTCAATATTAGGGCCTCTTGCTGAAACCCGGAAAAATTAAAAGAACGTGCTATTTTGCCAGTACCTATGGTCTCACACCCCTTTCAATGAACTAGATGAGTAAAATCGAATTTTCTTACACAGTTGGGACATTTAAAATCGAGACGTACCTTATTTACTTACTTTGCCTTCAGTGTCACCCTCAATTCGCATTCTAAGAAAACTGTTCATGGAATGGATCCTCTCTGTCAAAGATCAGAACCATTTTACTTGTTATTTGATCTTCTTATCTACCAACAATAAATAGCAACACCAACAAAAATGTTTAATAGTTTTATTTTTCACAACAATAAAAAAAAGATACAAAACAAAGCAACAACTACTATCATATGTGACGACAACTTTACATTGCATCAAAATGGAATCGATGGGACTCTTGCAACCTCTCCCGTTTATCCTCCTGCCGTTCCTTCCAATGCAAAACTCCAATAATAATCGTTATCAAACCGCAGACGCCGGTTAGCGCCGCGACGGATGTCAAAATAACTTTACTAGGCGTGACGAACAACTGCGCCTTCCATTTGCTAGGCTGCGACGTCGGCATCGGTATTACAACCATCTGACAGTTGGGAATAATCTGCGTCCAGTCTTTAGAGTAGTTCGACAGCCCTACGGTTAGCGTATCAACAAAATTGGGTGTTCGACCCAGTCCGAAAATGGTATAAGGTAAATTAAGACTGAAATGGGCCGATTGCGGTAACTGCGCCGAAATGGCGTGGCGGCTGTTTCCCTCTTGGGTTGTCGTCCGATACGAAATGCTCGGCCCCGGCAAGTTTGTGCCATACGTTCTTCGTTTCTTACCAACTCGCCCGTCGATCATGTGATTATTATTATTACTAAGTCCCGTTAATACCATTAATTTAATAAAATTAGCGTCATAATCTAAGCTATTTTTAAATGCGACTGTTTTATACTCGGTTATGTTATTTTCGACTAATATCACATCCAAAATACCGTCTTGGTAAAAGTCAAAGAACACCGCCATTACGGTACCGTTTTTGAATGGTTGCAAGGCGTTCCATTGAACTTGGTAGGTGCGCGAAAAGCCGTCACAGCCGCTTTCGCAAGCAATATTTTCAAGCAAGAAAGACTGGGTATCCGAAGTTTGGCTCAGTTCGAGTGTGGCTAAGATATCGGGATATCCGTCCATGTTGAAATCGCCGCAATGTAGCGTGATCACATTCGTATACTTCCTCCCTTCGCGCAACGAGAAGCCCCAAACGTTATCATTCGTCTCCTTAAAATTCACCTCCAGATTGTGCCACGTTCCGTTATGATACACCAACAGAGCGCTGTCGCGACAGTTGTCATCATAGCAGACCGGGGTTACCAGATCCATGCGACCTAATAACTCGACGTCGAGGAAAACGGATTGACCGATTTTCTTCGCTCGCGGCGGATGCGGAATCGTATGGGAATAAACGAATCTCTGTGATTCGCTCCCGTACCATATCTCAAAGTCTTTTTTAGTTGTAATGAAAATATCCGCCATATAATCGTCATTTATATCTACAATAAAAACACTTAATTCAGTCACTTTCTTGTAATGTGAAAGAATATTGTTACTATAAGAGATGTGTTATCGATTAGAAGCTGTTTTACTACTGTTTCTACAAATTGGAGTTTTGGTGTACATGACATCCTACCAATTTTTGAGGAACCGAAGATGAAGAAGAAGACACAAATAATAAAAATCTGAAAAATTTGCTTGATATAAAGAATGGGCAGGTTCGACATTTTTTATTTTAACTGAAATCAAAAGATTTTGTTATTAAAAACGAACAGAAAAAAAAATTGGTGAAAAATATTGATATTTACGTCCGCCGTAAACACTTGCGGCAAATGTTTCTGGCTACTGACGTCACGCGGGGTAGTCTCGCGCACAGGTACGTTTACAACATCTCTCGCTTTTAGTTAAAATAAAACAAATACCAAAAATGTCGAACCTCCCTATTCGCAAAAAAGAAACAACATTGCAATTTGAAGGCCACCATAAATTCAAAAAATTCGGGGATTCTGGCGAAGTTAAAGAATCTTGAGATTTTAAAGAATTACATACAAGCATAAACAAATAAAAAGGTTTTCACCCTAAGGCGAGTAACTTCAGCGCATTTTCCATGATTGATCAGTACTTCACAAAAGGCCATAGCTATGTCCGATGTGATTTTGTTTACTAGAGGCATATATGGTTAAAATTTCAAAGAAATATCTCCATAACTGAGAAAGTTGTCATTGCGCAGTCTGCGCATGCGCACATTTGATTTTTACTATATGCGATATGTTTGCCTTCACCAGAAATATCTGTGGTTAAAATTTCAACAAAATATATCAATAAATAAGAAAGTTGCACAGCCTGCGCATGCGCACATTAATCTGACGTTTACAATATGCGATACTTTTGCTTACACTCAAAGGATCTTTGGGTAAAATTTCAAAGAAATACCTCCATAAATAAGAGAGTTGCCATTGCACAGTCTGCGCATGCGCACAACTGATTTTGACAATAGCGCACCCAACTTCGTTGGAAAATGCGCTAAAAATAACTCAATTTATATGAATGTTTATGTTAACCCCTGTAACTTGACCTTTTGATCCCAAATTCAATAGGGTTCTTACTTGGACCAAAACCAAAAGAAATTTATCGCTCTCTTGTTCTATATACAGAGTGGCCCAACGAGAAGTATACAGAGGGCTTTTAGGGTATTAAATTTAGAAATTTCGAAAAATCCTCGAACACGTTAATTTTGTATTCGAGGGGACAACTTTTGGAATACAAATCACGAACCCAAGTCTTCACCCCTCTACGTAGGGAGCTTAACCCCTAAAATTTTAAATGGAATCCTATGGCAAATGGCACATTATTTGAAAGCCAATTTAATCGTGATTACTAATCTGCTTTGCTTTTTAAATTCTATTTCGAAATTTCTAAATTTAATACCCTAAAAGCCCTCTGTATACTTCTCGTTGGGACACTCTGTATATACCAAGTGGGGAGTCTGAAGAATAGGAAGATTGAAAGAAACCAAAAACAACGTTAAAAATAGTCTAATTTCTGAACAGGAAGAATTAAAGAAACACGAAAAGAATCTGAAGAATTAGAAGAATTCGAGACCTGAAGAATTTGAAGCACCATAAAAATATGAAAAAAGAAGAATATACAAAATTAGAAAAAATTTCAAGGATTAGATTAACTTGAACAATTTTATGACTAAGAATCTGAAAAACGCGAGGAACCCGAAAAATCAGAAATATCCAATTGGTAATCTGAAGAAGCCTGGATCATCAAAGAGAAGGCATATTTTGAGAACTCAATTTTTTATATTTACACTCAAAATGAGATAAACACTTACCTAAGAAAGCATGAGCATGA